AAAAAAATAGTTAATGTTTTCGTCATTTGAACTCTTAAATTTAAACTCATTTCATGAGCAGCCGTGGCGCAGTGGTTAGAATTCTGGTTCAGAACCCAGAGGTCCAAGGTTCGACGATTGCTCTAGCTCAACAAGCGACATTGGCACGGAAGGAGGCGTGAACTTTCAGTTAAATGCTCTCCCGCGGTGCTCTATGATAAGACCGTTAGGACTTCTGGGAGCACCTTAATAACCTAAAATAAAAAATAAATAAAAAAATTTCAATACGGCATGAATATGAATAAAAATAGATGAAATGTGAAAAATTTGGAACGATCGTAATCTGCGGAATAGGTTTTAAACATCGGGAAGTAATGTTTCACTTCCAACCATAGATCGCCGTATAAAGTATTCTCTAAAAAAGACAAAACTTTTTTTTTAATGATAATACTATTTAATTTTAAAGAAAAAAAAATAAAACCTTAAATGAAAGTATATACGAAAGTTAAAGAACTATTTTTATTCATTTTCACATATCATTTTTCATTTTCACACATCGTCTTTGATACGTAATGCTCATCACAAATAGGTTGTATGCAAATCCCACAGCTTTTCCTTGCCTTAGGTTGATTTCATTCTGGTCTATGCTGACTTAACAACTGCCACCTATTGAAGAGGATTCATGCCTACCATGAATTAATTGTGGGCTAGCTACAGCTTTGGCATTGTCACAGTGCGTTGTTCAAGTACCATCTTACTGCATTTTAAAAGATATGGTTTCTAATCAACATCCTGTTGGACTACGAGCTTTAGTTGAAGCGATACAAAGTTGATTGGCAAGATTTTTTATAAACTTTTTTTAATGTTACGTCCTGAACCTTGTTGTATTTTTTTTCTATGTTATATAGGGTGCTAAGACAGAGATGCCAACAATTTCATAGAAAAATAGAAAAAGGCCAAAACAAAGCATGTTATTACACAGTATTTTATAAAAGTATCAAATTCACCTTGGCTTTGTTGTGAATATACTTATCTCAGACTTGGCTGATTGTGTCGTTTCGATTACTTCTGATTATCGTTTCGATTACTTCTGATTGTATCGTTTCGATTACTTCCATCACGTGTATAGGTGATAGAAGCACTGCTGATTTGTTTTTCTTTGGTGCATATGGAAACACTGTTACATCATAATTGTAGGGAGTTTGATCGAGTGAACAAGTATTTCTTTAGCAGATTTTATGTTGCTTTGCAAAAAAATTTTGTTTTTTCTATCTGTACCAGCAAAGTTCTGTGTTATGTTATCGTTTCCCAATTTGAAGTTTTCTAGAAGTTTTTCCTGAAGTAAATGATTGTTTCACAAACTCTATTTCCCTTTTGGTTTGTAATCAATAATCTAAATAACATTGAAAAGTTTATCAGAAATGGCAAATGATAGCTAATGTATTTATTAACACTAAAATTTAAATTTGCAATAATATATATATATATATATATATATATATATATATATATATATATATATATATATATATATATATATATATATATATATATATATATATATATAGAAAAGCGCTTAATTAGCTAAAACAGCGGTGGGTATTCTTGTGAGACATAAGAGCTAAAAGTTACAAAGTACAAAATTTTCCAGTGTTTAAAGAGATTCTAACATCTTTATTTTAATATTTATGCTCAGAGCTAGAGAGCCGCGTCTTAACATTGATAAAGCCACATGCGGCTCGTGAGTCGCAGGTTGCCAACCCCTTACCTAAACCATTGTTCAGGGTAACAAACTAAAAAATTTAAAATATATTTGACTTTTTGTGCATTATAGCCCACTGTGCATTGTTGACAAACGTCATATCACAATGGGCATTTTTTAAATACTGATTTCCGTTTGGCTCCTACGTTGTATCCTTTTATACTTTAATCTTTTTCAAGCTAAAGAATATATAAAAACCAAACTTTGTTTTTTTCGTTTTTTTTTTGAGCTATATATGTTTACTATTTTTTAATTTTAATAATCTGTTGCTGTTTGCGTATATAAGTAATGTAACTTGTATTTGCGTACAAATTATTATATATTAGTTATATGCATATTCTTTACATTTTTTGATTACAACACAAGACGTGTTTAAGACGTCTAAAGCACGTATTAAAACATACTCATACGTTATTTAGACGTCTTGAACGCGTTTGTGCTAACTGAGATATTTATTTTCTTTATTTAGGCGCCCCAAGAAATTGTAACACTTTTATCACAGAGCACCGCGGATGAGCATTTAATTAGAAGTTCACGCCTCTTTCCTTGCCAATGTTGCAAAACTTGCCCAGAGGTGGAGTTTGAACCACAAATCCTTTTTTTCTGAGGCAAGTGCGCTACGACTGCGCCGCAGCTGCTTATATCAGTATAGTATAATAAAATAATAATAGTATAATATGTTTTTATACAAATTAATAAATAACACTAAGCAATAAAACTTTCTTTACAAATTTAAAATGTTCGCTTTTAGAGTGAAAAAAAAAAGTTAAATTCGTTTTAGTACAAAATATGTAATAAAATAGTAAAATAAATAATGTCGGAAACTGTTATACCACGTTTTAAAAAGACAAATGTTGAACTAATTCCTTTTTAAACGACTTTTTTTTACAATATAATCAACAGTTACCAAGGCATTATAATCAAAGCATTAATTTGGCTGATTAAATTTTAGGTTTGTGAAGACTTTTATTTTTGATAAATTTACTGCTAACATTAAAGAATTCTACTATTTTTTACATTTACTAATACTACTTTTTAAACACTTTTTATTCTTTAAAAATAGTATTTTGTTTTTAAGCAATATATTTCTAGACGCATTTGGCTTAAATACTTGAGAAATATATTCCTGACATTAAAAAAACAGATTTCTTAAATACTGTATTTTATTATTATTATTATTTTTATTTTATTTAGGTGCCCCAAGAAGTCAATACGGTTTGATCTATATTTTTTTATTTTATCACAGAACACCGAGGGTGAGCATTTAATTGAAAGATTACGCCTCCTTCCTAACCGATGTCGCATAACTTGCCCAGAGGTGGGGTTTAAACCACTAATCCTTTGTTTCTGAGGCAAGTGCGCTACCATTGCGACACGGGTGCTCAAACCACCTCAAGCCACTTAAAAAATATGTTTCTAGAAACATCTTGCTTAAATAGTATAGAGTGTTGATCAATATTATTAATAGTTTGTTATCGTAATGAAACTATGACAGGACCATCAGAGGCGACTCTACGAATAAAATGTGGGGGGTGGGGGGTGGATCTATAAAAAGTACCAACTGGCTCCTTAAATAAATAAAAATAAGGTCCTCAAAACTAAAACTCCCCCGACTTAAATGTATCAAATACTCGACTAGCCAACTATGTTTCTCAAAAAGCCGACTTTAACATAAAAATCACTTTTTTCGGGGAATGTCTCATTCCCCTAAGATAACCTGCCATCAGTCGAGTATACAACAATTCAATAATAAATTCCATCACTAAGTTGACGTAATGTGATAACAGTAAACCATACGCTGGGTTAATGAATAGAAGAAAAAATTATAAATACATAAAAAAAAATGGCTTTAATTAATTTTGGAACAAAGCAATTTTTGAAAATTTGTGCAATTAAATTAAGTGTGTGTGTGCGCGCGCGCGTGTGTGTGTGTTTGTGTGTGTTTGTGTGTGTGTGTGTGTTTGTGTGTTTGTGTGTGTGTGTGTGTGTGTGTGTGTGTGTGTTTGTGTATGCAGCAATAAGCAGTATTGTTACGACAGAAAAAAATATTTTGTCACAAAAAATAAAATTTGTATATCTATAATATTGTATCACAATTTAAATTTAAACTTATATATCTATAATATTATATTGTAATTAAAAGTAATAGTATTAAGTAGGAAAATTAACTTCATTGCTAGTAGAATTAGATATAAAATTAATGGTTTATTTAATTTTAATTCTATTTAAAAAAGTGTCAATCCGTCCAGTTACACATAAGTGAGCTATATTTTCTAATATTATTAACATTATTCTTAAGCTTTCTAAAAAAAAGAAATATTTTTAATATAAGAAATAATAAAAGTTATAATAATTTACACATTTGAAAACACAATATTCTTTAATTGATACGGGTTTTTTTAACAATAAAATATTTTCGTTCCCGTGCTCGTTGTCTATTTAAATACATTTTCATAAATTTTTATTTATGAAGTTTTGTTTCCTGAAATTATTTACTAAAATAAATATAATAAAAGATCTTTTAAACAATGCTTTTTATATAAATAAAAAAAGTATTATGTACAAACAACGGTCAAAATGAAAAAAATGAAAAGCAGTTCAACAACTCCTCTGCATTTCATTATTATTATTTTTCGTGCTAATGTTTCCTTAATCTCGATATCATTATCAAATAAAACAGGATCTTTGCTAAAGTGAACTTTGTCAGCTAATTATTAACACTTGAAGCTACTTCAAGCCTTGAAGCATTCAATTTTTTACAGTAAAGATGAAAGCTTTATTTTTAATAAACAATATTATATCCAAACAAGTTTCTAAATCCTTATATTCAAATCAGTTTCTTTATCGGATAAGATTAAATATTCATGTTATAGATTACGAATTATATAAGAGAAACAGCGTCTGCACTCAAATAAAGAACTAAACAATTGATAATAAACGATTATAAGCTATTCCGCTGTTTAAAAATCGCAATAGATTTTCCAATCTGTATAAATGGTCATCGGTTGCTTTTTTTGTAAAACTGTAGTAAGCTTATTCTAGAAATCTAATGCGTATATTTACAAATCTAATGCGCATATTTCTATTACAGAGAGAATGAGGCGAGTTTCTCAAACTAATAAAAGATTCAATATAAATAAAGCAGTCGTTTAATTGGATGTAAATAAATGTTAAAGTTACTCAATAAAATTTTTAATACAGTTTGCATTATTTATGTAATGCAGGTGCATTTTCTGTTCTATAGTAATTTTCATTAAAACTGTTGCAACAACAGATCAAAGACCGATTATTTAATTATATTTGTAAACATTTATGCATGCATAAAGGGATACAGGGTGTAGCTTCATTGTGACCTAGAGAAAACTCTTGAGAATTCTTCTTAATTACGTGTCCATTTTTTATTGACGGAACTTTATTAAAGTTCTGTTTTCTAACTATTATCCATATACGAATAAATGAATGGATGTATATTTGATTGACCACGTTTTTAAAGAATACTTGTACAATATAACATACTATCATAGCAAAAGGTATATCTCTTTGAGTGTTATTTTTTGTTGTTAGTTTATGTTTGTCGGCTTTGCTTGCATGTTTTTATTACGTAAAATACGTAAGGGACCTTGAACCACACACATAAGATATATTAATCCGCTCACATCGGTTTTCTGCTTGGTCCTAAGATATTGACACATCTCAGATGTTTTTATTATTTAAAATAGACAATATTGCCTAATCGCATTAATCGCATTACGCTAAGAAATAAGAGTTTATTGAAACAAATAAATAAATAAAAAATAATTTACAGACATGATAAACAATATTTCAATACATAATATAAAACTATGCCATTATATCACCAAAATAACCTTGGTGATAATATATTGCTGTATTGCCAAGGTGATATACTGTTGCCAAGCTGTTCTATAGAAATAATATAAGACAACTGCACTCCACCTAAGCATCCTAACTTTTTAAAATATTGAGAAAACGCAGTTTTTTAAATGTTGTAGCAAAAAAATAGATTGTCGACGCACATATAAAAAACCTGAGTTTTATTTACTAAAAAACGACTTTGCACTTTAAACACCTATTTACGAGCGTTTTATAGATTTATAATAAAGTATATTTTTATCACAATATTGATCTGTATTTTTTACTTATCGGATAACGCAAATAAAAAAATAAATAAAGATTATAACATGAACTTTATCTTTCATTTTTAAACTTCAACTTTCCTTATGGCTTGGTATTCTTTCGAACATTATTTTGTAAGTGAGGAATCAAAAAAAATATATGATAAAAAAAGAAATTAAAAAAATTAAATTAAATAAATCTCAAAGAGAATTTGAAGTGAAAACAAAGTGTTATTGATAGTGATTATGAATTTAATTTCTGTTTACTAGTGAAACGAATGGAAAACACAACGATTATAACAACAGTGTCTTCAACAGACAATAGTAATAGTGTCACAACTTTAAATATCATTATTTTCGTATTGTTCGCAATTATTTTCTTGTTTGGCACTATTGGAAATGGCTTGGTTCTCTACTACTTCCGTTTCAAAGATAAACCTCTAGGGATTGCGACAGAAAAACGTAGAATATCAGAATTTTTATTTAGTTTACTCTCTCTTGTTGATTTTTTCGCTGCTGCATTGAACTCTGCATTGTACATGTATTGGAATGTAACAGATTATAAATGGCACTTAGGTTATTGGAGTTGCAAAATATTAGTTCCTTTAGGAACAATTGCTACAACAATGTCTGGAGGAATTATCGCTGTCCTATCATTCGATAGACATCGCGCCATTGTTTATCCGTTTAAAAGCCATTTCAAACTTTTTCACATTAAAATATGGATTTTTTGTGTGTTAGTATACTCTCTTTTAATTAACGCTCATTATTCCATAAACATTTCTTTACATAATAATCGATGTAACGTAAGGGATACAAGCAAAAAGACGTACAGTATTCCAACAATAATACACTTTTTTTTAAACGATTGTACACTATTATTTGTCATAAATTTTACAAACTACCGAATATTTTCAAAAAGGCTTCACTTAAGTCCCACTAGCACATTAATGAAAATGCTTGGAAGCAACGCTTGTAAACGACGCAAGAAAGACAATAGCAGAACAATTCGTTTGTTAGTCGTGATGACAATTGTGTTTTTTCTGTTAACATTACCGAGAGATATACTTCAGTTTGTATTTTTGATGTCATGGCTAATAGGTGATGGTATAGTAGTATCAAAAGCACTAAACAGCTTGAACTCTTTCCTAAAAGTTTTCAACGTAGCTAATTCCTGTGTCAACCCTATAATATTTTACGGAATGCATGCAGGGTTTAACGTTTTTATTAAAAGTTTTTTTTGTAAGCCTAAATCTTTAATTCGAGGAAGGAGAATAAGCGTTAATGAAATGGCAACTTTTGTTCGCAGTCAAAGTGCTATTTAAAAGACCAGTTATTTAGATCAATACTTTTAAGATTAAAATAGTACTTTTTATGGAATATTTCAATTGTTTCATGATTGTTTATCTAACTTTCGGTAATTTAATAAATATGAAAAAAATTTAAACAAAAAATGGTTTTTTATCTCAGTTTAAATAGATAAACGATTAGCAGGACAGGATAGTTAGAAACTTTTCATAAAAAGTGTGTAATGTGATTTTTTTTTATATTTATTTCTAAATTTTTAATTTCCATAATATTCTTTGTTCAATAAATATTTCAAACATGTTTTTGTTGACAATGAAAACTAGCAGAACTAGAATCACCTGTTATAGAAGGGGTGTGATGGATGGATGAGAATCACCTGTAGAGATATAGAAGGGGTGTGATGGATGGATGAGAATCACCTGTAGGGATATAGAAGGGGTGTGATGGATGGATGAGAATCACCTGTAGAGATATAGAAGGGGTGTGATGGATGGATGAGAATCACCTGTAGAGATATAGAAGGGGTGTGATGGATGGATGAGAATCACCTGTAGAGATATAGAAGGGGTGTGATGGATGGATGAGAATCACCTGTAGAGATATAGAAGGGGTGTGATGGATGGATGAGAATCACCTGTAGAGATATAGAAGGGGTGTGATGGATGGATGAGAATCACCTGTAGAGATATAGAAGGGGTGTGATGGATGGATGAGAATCACCTGTAGAGATATAGAAGGAGTGTGATGGATGGATGAGAGGAAGAGCTGGATGTCAAATTAAATTTTTGTTTTCTAACCAAATGTTATTAATAAAAGTTTGTTGACCGATAACAGTTGTGTAACTTTGTTGAAATCTAAAGAGAAATAAAAGTATAAAAACATAGCAAAAATATAATTATAAAAGTATAAATTATAACTCGTGTTCTCTAGATGTGAGATATAAGGCTAAATATCATATTAAATATACTTCGATCTTGGCCAAAAAATCATTCTAAATATTATATTAAATTTAGTTCGATCTTGGTCAAGAAATCATACTAATATTTATCAGTTATTATACATACTATCGTGCATGCATAAATACATACATACATTCATATATAATACTTAATTTATACACGAATACATAAATAGATACATACACTCAAAATTGAGTTTTTTTTCTTTTAATATACTTTATCTTTACATTATTATCTATACTTATACTATACATTATCATTTTTTAATATTTTATTATTGTATTATGATGCAATAACTTTAATTTTATTTTATTTGAATTATTTCACTATAATTCAGTGGAAAGTTTTTAAAGCTATTTATTTTAATAACTTAGCGAAGTAAAAATAATATAAGACAAATTTACTAATCAAAAACGTTGCGGGTAAAATTGTATTTAAATATTAATTGCTTGAAAAAATTGTTTAATGGGGCTGACTCACTTTTACCTTGATTAAAATTATTTTACAAAAACATATTTGTTTCTATACATATACATGATGCGTGGAGACACTTTTGAGAACGTCTAAGGACTTGTTAAATAATATTTATTACATTTGGTTTTCAGGATTTCGATTTATATATATTCTGGATTGGATTTACCTTAAAATGATACACTACTAAAAAGCACTTTTTTAATAAAAAATTGGAATAAAGCCAAAAAAACATTTTTCTGGTGAGAAATGTTTATTTAAAAAAAAATCTCAAATCTTTTACATCCATTATGGCGGAAAAACTAAAAAAAATGCCAAAAAATGCCTAAAATTGAATAACTTATTGACTTAATTTTTTTTTTTAATATAAATTTTCTCTCGTTCAAAATTTGTAGATTGATAATTATAAAGTTATATATAATTGACATTTTTATTCCGGTTGATATTTTTATTCCGGTTAACATTTTTTTCCGGTTGGATTTTTAATTTACGGACTTATTTTAAAATTAATCACAAATTATTTAAAATATGTTTAAACACTAAGTGATTTGACATAACATAGAAACTAATTTCTTTGCTAAAAAATTGAACAGGAATTTTTTAAATTTTGTGTGCCAACCGAATTTCTGTAGTACTATGAGTCCTGGAATTTTCAATCAAAAATTATTAGCCAATGTAAAGATATTACGCTTCAATCAACCAATGTAAAGATATTACGCTTCAATCAAAAATTATTAGCCAATGTAAAGATATTACGCTTCAATCAAAAATTATTAGCCAATGTAAAGATATTACGCTTCAATCAAAAATTATTAGCCAATGTATTAGTAGCCAAGATATTACGCTTCAAAGTTGCCCTAGTATTACAAAAATCAAAAATTGTAAAAAACATTTAAATTTTTTTTAATTTTGTTTAATGTCGACCAGAAACATATGCCAGATTAGTTTCATTGACTTTTATTTATCACTGAACCCTTTGGCTACTGATCTTAAATTTTTCTTCACTTTATACACTTTTGTATTGATTTTTGCTTCATTTGCTTATACAAGATTTTAATAGATGTTATGACTGTTATATACCAAAGTTTCAAGCACTCAAAATATCTTTACTTCCATCATAAAAACAAATAATAGCGGAGTATGTTCCCATTTCAACTAAGTTAAATATTTAAGAATCAGTTGGGACCTATAAAAATGAGCAGCCGTTGTGAAGTGGTTAGCGCACTTGCCTCAGAAACAAGAGATCCGTGGTTCAATGTCACCTCTGGGTAAGTTTTAAAACACAAAGGAAGGAGGCGTAATCTTCTTTTCAAATGCTCTTCCGCGGTGCTCTGTGATAAGACCGTAAGAACTTCTTAGGGCACCTGTAAATTAAAAATATATATATATATTTTTTTTATTCAAAACTTTTTATACATTCTTTTTCAGAAAATAATGGAGCAGTTTTTTTAGTATGTTTGATTTGTTCTAGAGTTATATATATATATATATATATATATATATATATATATATATATATATATATATATATATATATATATATATATATATATATATATATATATATATATATATATATCTAGAGTTATATATATATATATATATATATATATATATATATATATATATATATATATATATATATATATATATATATATATATATATATATATAAGTTTAAAAATTTTTTATAAATTATAATATAAATTTATGTATATATAAATTTTTCTTATATATTATAATATAAATTATCCGGATGAATGATTAAACGTCAAAAAATATTATGCAGGATGTTGGGAATTGTTATAATTAATTATATATATAACTGTAGTTATTTTGCAACCAAGAAGTTGCATTAGCTAAATTAAAAATAAAAAATTAATTATAAAACGAATTCTTTAATTTTTTATTTAATTTTTCTTCGTTTTATAATTAATTTTTTAATTATAAACGAATTCTTCGTTTTATAATTAAAAACTCAATTATAAAACGAAGACTTAAAATAATTTTAGTTTTGGTCATTGGTACTTATTTTTATGTCTACATTTAGAAATTAATTCAAATTTTTTGCTTAGTAAATTTTCTCGATGCAAATGAGTAATAATTTCAATTTTTTTTTAAACATAGTATACATTTTTTTGGAAACGTTTTTTTTTGTACTTTTTTTTTATGGTCTTTTTTAATAAAAAGATTTTACTTTTACTGTCAATTTTTTTCTTCAGTTCTTTAACTTTTGCTCAAAATAAAAGAATTTTTTTATGTATAAGAAAACCTTATTGACCTCGATTTAAACAAAAACAACAATTTCACGCACGAAAAAAAAAGAAGTTGCAAAAAGCAACAACATTAGGAAACAAGCCAAGACAAGGTCCAAATTAGGAAGGTGCTAAGAGATCAGATAAAATTGAAATGAGTGGCAGGAAAATTTTCAAGCATTTCATATGATAAACTTATCATACGCGGTTGGGCTGCAATCAAAAGTAAAAGTGTAAAATCCTGACATTTTAATATCTTTATTTTCATGATTATTATATTTTACTTTTTCTTAAAAATGGATGATAATCTTCTACTTAATTTTGATACTGAGAGTGATGATGACTATTTCAATTAAAAAGAAATTTGAAGGTGAGTGTTATTCAAATTTGTGAATCTCCATTTTTTAGTAAAATAAAAGATAAAAATAATTTTTTAATTTTAAATCTAAAAATTCGAAGTATTAATAAAAATTTTGATAATCTAAAATTATTATTGCATGATCTAAATCATGATTTTAAAATGATTAGTCTCACGGAAACGTGAGACTAATCATTTTAAAAAGCATTAAAATAAATTCTAATTATGAGCTAAAAAGCAATGAAATAAATTCTAATTATGATTAAAAAGCAATGAAATAAATTCTAATTATGAGCTAAGTAATTATGTGCTAATTCACCAACCGCGTAAAACCCACTTTGGTGGTGGTTTAAGTATATTTGTTTTGCGTAAAAATCTCAATGTTAACTAAATAGATAGCAAGTCATTATGCATTGAAATAAATAATAAAGGCACCAAAAATATGATTACAAATTCTATTTATAGAAAACCAGCTGGTGATTTAAAACTACTTCAAACCCATTTGAAAAATTTTTTAACCAAAATTAACATTTTATAGAAACACATGTACTTAACTGGCGATTATAATTTAAACTTTTTTAGTCGTAAATGTTCTATGTTTTTTAGATACGCTTATTCAGCACGATATAACTCCCACAATAAATAAGTCAATGAGAATAACTAAGACCTCGTCGACGTTATTAGACATTACTAGACGTTACGTTGACATTAATGTATTTATTAATAATTTTCATAATTGCTTCTTAGAATCAAGTATAATCAAAACCGACATAGCTGATCATTACCCAATATTTTTAATTACAGTTCTATCTCTAAATCAATAATTTTTATACGACAAATCAATGAAAACTGTATATTATACTTTCAAAATCTTTTATCTGAAAAAACTGATTGGAATCTTAAATTGCAATCACAAGATGCGAATGAATTATTTTTGGCACAGTTTTGTAAACACTATGATTTGGCATTTTTAGTTAAAAAAAAGTTATAAATTCTTATTCACTTTTAAACCCTTGGATGACCTAAGGTTTGTACAAATCATCAAAGAGAAAACAAAAACTTTATGAAGAGTATTTAAAATATAAAACATATAAAAATGAATTAAAGTACAAAAATTATAAAAAATATGTTTGAAAAAACAAAGAAAAAAAATATATGTATATAATATGTAGGGTTGCAGGAAAAAACAGGCGGAAACACACAAAAAACGTGAAATGTGATTTATCAGATAATCGGTAAAATAAATGCATAAAAATTAACTTGCCACAAAAACTCTTAGTTAACGGAGAAATGATTTATTATAAAAAGCCATAATTCAAAAGCTCAACAAATATTTTCTTGATTTTGGCCCAATGTTAGCTGATAAAATTCCAAAAAAAACCTCAAACTTTGAATTTTATATGAAATCAACCAATACATCTATAAAAGAAATAAAATTAAACATAAGAGTTGCAAAATCCCTTCAACTGTAATCTGAAATCTGTAACTAAAATCCGTTAAAGAACTGTCTGAAATTTAATAAATGCTTCTCCCTAGAACAATTCAAAAGAGAATCTAAACGAATCTATTAGAAATTAACTTCGATCTTAGAATATTTTTTTTTAACTATTTATTCTAAAGTACCTAAAATAATTAAACTGAAAAATAATTAAACTGAAAAATAATTAAACTGAAAAAAGTCATCTTTACTCACTTTTTTGTTTTAATTTGTTTTTTCATTTTTTTCTTAAAAAAATGAAAATCCGATTTACTACTTTTAATATATTGTGTTTTTATAATTTTCAATTGGTAAACTTTTAATTTTTAACTTTTTACATAAACTGAAGGCGACAATGTAAACGGGGCTCGGTTATAAAACAATATACGTCTTCTT